AATGTTCATTTCCTATTTAATGGCCAACTGTATAGACAAGTTGACGGAGTGGTAATGGGCAGTCCTCTTGGTCCTACCTTTGCAGACATATTTATGGGTCACCTCGAAGAAAAAGCAACTTTTAACAATAAACAGTTTACATCCGAAAATGAAATTTACGATGGAAGTGGAACGTGAAAACCAGTTTTCTTTCTTAGACTTTCACATGGCCAGACAGAAAGACGGCTCCATGGCGCGCAGAGTTTTCCATAAGAATACATGGAAAGGGCAATATTTGCATTATCTAAGTGACCTTGATGGTTTTTTGTATCGATTTTTCTGTATGAATCCAATGTGTAATTTCTCATTCGTTACTAAGTTTATGCAGCGAGTGAAAGCAGCTGATGAGGGCTCGCAAAATTTATGCTTATACATACGCAATCTTCAAATATATTAAAAATATAACCAGTGTATTTGGGAATTTAAAAAACTCAACCAGAAAAGGAAAAAAGATGAAATTTAATTCAAATACTGGTTGTCCTTAAATAGTTACCGTTTTCACGGATAGAAGAAAATAATCGTGCCTAACTTTCTTGTTGTAAAGAAAAAGAAGAAGATGCGATCTCTGGAACGATGGCTTCTCGTCTGGAGTCTGCTTTTCGTCTGCTTTTCCAGCGATCGCGTATTCTTTTTCCTTACAGTTGCTGTTTCAAAATTGTTATGTTTCTTCAAATGCACGCAAAGGTAAAAGTCGTCTTTTGAAGTGAACAATTAAATCAACTGTGGAGCAGAACCAAACAAGTACGGGAAAAGTACATGCCACTGTATTACACATGATATATAATCATAAAAATCTTGCTAGTTCGATGAACGAAAGAATAAACAACTAACTACGGAGATTAATTTCAACTGTTGGCAACTCAAATAAACTGTAAACATTTGAACAACGCCGTTTAAATAGACCGTTCATTCGATATTTTTGGGCTGGGTTATATGGGTATATTGGACCTAGATGAATTTCTTTGTTTACAATTTCAAATACTGAAATTTCCGTTTTATGTGATAAGTTCATAAGTGCTAATTTAAAAACTCCCAATAAATCCAAAGGAATGCATCTACAGACTATAAATATAAAGGAACAAGTTGGTAATTTTGTTTAACATGTGCATGCTTTGATTGAATGTTCATGTAAACACACTTGGCCTATGTAATTGTTTTGGTAATTTTTGGGCGGATTACGAGGTGGGGCGCATATTTTTAAAATACGTTGTAACAAAATTAGCTTCATAAATGCTTACGAAATATAATTTAGCGATACCCGCAGACATGTCTGCAGTTCCCTTTCCTCTGCAATACATGAAGGCTTTTGACTGAATTGTTTGAACTTTCTGAAAACTGCCCTCAATTTTCCTGGTGTATGTAGGCAACACAAACGTTCTCCACAGGTTCTGGGATATCAGTTGTTGCGGAGTGCCCCTCATGTTTAAAAAGCATAACAATTTCATAATAATGGGAAAATATTTTGCTATGAACCCATCCATTTCGAGTCAGTTCAGAAATTGATGGCCTCAATATCCACTTAGTCAAATTATGAATTTTATAAATCTCTACCTAATTAGTGACAGCAGGTGACGAAGTTAACATAATGTTCGTAAAACCTTCAGTCGAGAGTTAGCCAACGCAATTGCATCGACCAACCCTCGAGTATTAAAATACCACAAATTAACTATAGTAAATCCAAATAAATTATTGTAGAACTACTTATTTACCTGAAAATAACAATTTGGTGGAGAGGTAGAAATATAAAAGGCGTGACTGTTCATGTCAAATGAAAATGCTCAGGATTCTGAAGAGCATAAATTATGTCTGTGGATACACGGGAAAAATCCAAAAGAGCCGATGTTCGTCCATTTCGATAGGCATTTAAAGGAGCATCAAGAGTTTCTAGCAAAAACTGTGAACTTTACTCAATGGCTTTCTGATTGGTAAGAGGTTGCAAAACGTTTCTACAAGAATTCCATTTAATTTCTTCCTTTTTCCATCGTCTGAAATATGAATGAAAAAACTTAAGAAAACTACACGGAATTTCCTGCGAGCCCATGCCGCAAGAAAAAAGGGAATATAAGATGAACTGCTCGGTCAGCAGTAGGTCTCTATAATGAAAAGTTTACGTGGATTTTTTTGGCATTTGAGTCAGTAGCGATTTCCAATTTACTTGAAATATTGCGGAATACTATATATTTAAGTCTGTAATAAAATTTTGAAGAGGCGTGTTACATTGATCGTGTTTATGCTTACTTTCGGAATGCAGTGATTTATGCATGCGTATTCATACGCCCTGATCAGCTTATGCTAAAGACGACTCAAGTCAAACGTGTAGACTCATCTTAATATCGAAACTCATTGCTAAACAAAGCGAGTTTCCGTTCCAGAGGCTTGGAAGAAAAATTTTTTTGATCGGTTGGAAAATCGTATCTTGTAAGCCGGTTCTTTTAAATGCAGCCACTTGCTACATGGTCAATGAACGTTTATTTACTGTGTCAGTGTCCAAGCTAAATTCGATGCGTCAGTTCAATTTTCCTTTACCTTATGTCTGGCAGAACATTAAACTATATTATTTCCAAAAATATTGATTCAAATTTCGCCGCCAAAAATATTCCATACTTTTTCCAACTGTATTCTTTTAACTGTAAGTTTTTGTTTAACAGCCGAAAATGTCTACCAATTTCAGCTCTCTTTTCGCTGAAGCCTTAGTAAATATGGAAGCGCAAACTGGTATATAACCATATGGTAGGAAGTTACACTTGCTCTCTTAGGCCAGGTGTTTTTAAAATAGCTTCAGAATATTACGAGGTTCCGAGCTTATACAGATGCCTTACATATTGTATCTCATTACTTATCTCGCTTTGTGGGTAAACTTTATAAAAATATATAAATTGCTTAATAAAGGTTGGTATTTTTGGGAAACAGAGCTTTTACTTCAGCAAAGTAAGAAAGATTCCTAACTAAACCGAGAACTTTAAAGCATAAGACCCTTGGTTCACAGTGCACTGATGTTTTTGTTCATCGACACTAATGCATCCGGAAAAATAGAGGTTTGCTTATATCTTTTGTTTCAGACATATTATTTCCACAAAAGGTCCAATCTCTAAAACTTAGCCCCTCAAACCGCTAAGCCTTTCGCCAAAGATATTAAGTCGTGGTTCGACAATAATCGAGCAAACAGTGTAGCTTCTCGCACTTAAAAACACACTAATAATACCGACCAAACCCTCCTTCAGGTTTGAGTCTACTACCGGTATTCGGTAAAATTTAGATAGGTTTGTTGAAACTAATAGTTAATTAGCAGAACTTAAAGTAACTCATCTAACTAATTCAATAGTGTAGTTAGCTTATATTCGTTCAGACCGTACGATTCATTTGATAGTTTTTCGATACTTCAGCTCATATATTAGAGCGGACTGAGCTCTCCAAACTTTCGTAGTATCCGGTGGTCTTAGCCCAACAGTAAATTCGGGCTGTGAAAATATTAAAGGGGTCAAAATAAGTGACTCAGATGGTGTTTTCTATTATTGCTTAGCCTTGCAGTGGTTTAGCACTGTCAGGTTAATTCAATTTTGCCTCCCCCACGTGTTTTGCCGAGACCAATAGGGACCAACTAGCACACAACTGGAGCGCACGCACAGCTCTCACCGCAGAATTAACCATTTGTTAGTCTGCGTTATATACGTGTGATACTTCGCCTTTTCTTTGGCGAAATTCACTTTATTTTCCACAGGCATTTCAGTACCCTCAAAGATGGCCGGTCGCTGCAAAAACTACGATCCCTGTGAGGTTAAGCCTAAGTTTGTGAAGAAACAGTTGCCCGCAAAATGCGAATCGAAGTTCCTTGACATTGTTCGGCAGGCCTGCCTTCTCTATGACGACTACGTAGACCTGGCTACTGCCGTAAAACAAAATCTTGACGAGCTCTACGGACCAACTTGGCATGTCGTTGTTGGACCAACTTTCGCGAGGTACGTAGATTTAACCTGTTGTTGCAAAGTCATAGTTACCTTGCTGTATTCATACTCAACGAATCGTTAATAATGGGAGCTATGGTACATTAATGAGAATTTAAATGCTTGCTTTTAACATACACTAAAAGCCTTTCTGGGGGATAAGTGCATTATTTCAGCTACCCAATAGGTGAACACACATATTGAAAAAGTTAGTTATAAACAAAAAGTTATAATTCAATAGGCAAAAGTCAGTTCTTTAAGCTCTGAAATTTTCAATAATATTTTGAAAATGTACAACATGGTTTCAGAATTGTATTCACAGGGGACATAGCATTACATCTTTACTATCACTGGTTTTCAGTTAGCTTTAACAAAAACGAACGCCTTGGACGAGTATGGATAATATATCCAACATTTTAATCGATACATACGTTGATCAGGATAAAAAATACAGACCAAATACCTTTAGGACTGAGAAGTAGCAACTAAGTGTAATGTAGGTTAAAACGAAGGAGTTGTTGACGTGCGTACATAATTGAAAAGCTGCTTGTAAGTCCACTATTGCACATTTGCTGGTGTTTAAATGGCTAAAAGGACAGCACTGCGAAGAAGACAATCCACCAAGGTTAAAATTAACATGGCTCACGGATATGCATCACTCTTGAGTTATTCATGTCTTTTACAATTATCCTGCTTTCTTTTTCAGCCATATCATACACGAGAAGAAGGCATTCGCCCACATAAAATGCAACAATCTCTCCTTCCTGATATTCCGTTACGGCTAATGTGCCTGCAAGTTTCATCAGTACGAACTTCGGTTGCATCTTAATTTGACATTTTTATGTTTTAATATTCATTTGCAAAAACGTCCGTCCAAATAAAGGATATTGTTTATCAAGTTTGTTCTTATTTTCTACCGAAACGTTAAGCTGATATTATGGTCTTTAATTCATCTTCGAGAATGGTAAAGGTAGTGGTAGAGGTAGAGGTAGTCGGTTGCCCCCAATAAGTTCTGGGTTTGGAAAGGCTGGACAATTGCTTTCAAACTGACGGAACGGAGTAACAAAATGGCAACATCTACGAAAAAAGATAGCACTTTGTTGTTCAAATATCTTAAAGGAGAAAACGTTTATAGCTGAGCACAACTTCCCGTAAAAACGGTGTGTGAATTATGTCATACCGAGTTCCCCTTGATAATCTCACTTTCTCAAACAGCGAACAAAACTATTAAAGGTACATATGTTTTACCTGCTTTAGGGCGTAGCTGACCTTCTCCATTAAGGTATCTAAAACTTTTGAGTTAAAATTATAATGTTTGATTCTATGGTTTGTACTTATGTATGAGTGAAAATTAAATAAATTCACAACTTAGAACAAAGTAAAACTCTGCTTTTGCAAAGAGTCGGCAGTGTGTACTTCAAAGGAGATGCAATATATCATCTTGAATGGCTTTTGACCGATTTCAGACGGATTTTTACATTCTGGGACAAATATGTTCCTGAAATAACTTCAACAGTTCCTTGATTCTGAAAATAAGGTATAACCTTAATGTCTTCTGGGTGTCATTTTGGGACAAGTCCATCTTTACTGGGGAGAAGCAACTGTCTTAATCATTTACAAAAAACTATGAAAACCTCTGGATTTCGCATTTGAAACCTTTACATGAAGCACCATATGAGAAATTTGTGTAATCTTCACAGTCACCTCTTACTAGTCTAATATAAAGTAAAATTGGACGTGTAAAATAGAACCGTTTTCAGGTCGTAGGCATTAATAGGGTGCCAATACAAGCGAACATGCGAGTCCAAGGAAGCAATTGAGACGAAGAAGAATCGATCACTGGGAAAATAGGTTTATTCACCTGACGTTTCGACATCCGCCGCGGATTCATTATCAGAGACATACGTATGAAAAAGTAGCATTGCTACCGTTTCCTACTCATGTCTCTGATGAGTAATCCGCGACGGATGTCCAAACGTTAGGCGAATAAACGTATTGTTTCAGCGATCGAGTCTTTTTCTTCTTCTTACTCTTCTTCTTAATTAATAGGGTAACCATTGTGAATACCAAATCAAACATTTTAAATTATGACTGCTGCGGAAGCCTCGAGAAACCCCTGCACTTTGCTGTAGTATTTACAATTATGACTGTGAGTTCATGCAGAAAATGTGTATTCAGAACTTCAATCCAGTAATTTAGACAGCCTTGTTAATCCTTTGGTATTCTGTGATGATATTAATGTAGCTTTATGACCAAAACTTTTCGCTCATTATTTAACTTAATTGAAAAACGCAAATGCTTTTTGCAGAAAGGACGAAGAACAAAAATATGAAATCGGTCAATCACATTCTGTTTAGATACTGACTTGAGTTAGCTGTAAAATGTTACATTGCCTCATCGTTCGTGCGGTTATTCAGTAAAACGGGTATTTGGCCATAAGGATTTTTCCGAACAGTGCGATCGTTAATGTATAGTAGATAAAACGAGTTTTAGAATCAGTTGCAGTAAATACTCTACGTGTTTTGGAACATATAGAAAACAGAATAATACCCAATTGTTTTTTGATTTCCTGAATCGCCAACATCAGAAATTTTCCAACAGTTTTGATTCCTTACACTAAGAGATGTTTTAGGCAGACTAATGGTCGACCAGTTGTTTTTTTAGCGTTTTCTAATCTTTTAGAAAAGGAAAAATTTTGTCATTAATGTGTAAGGTAGTATCAATATACATAATTGATTTGGTGACGCATAAGGCTAGGGCCATCTTGCTTTCAGATTGACAGCAACAAATAACAAGATCTACTGTTATCTAGCAAACGATAACCCGATATAGAGCGTATCCTGTCCTCGTTGTTCGATTTCGAATTGCAAACAACTCTTTAAAAGGTGGCCTGCAACTGGCGCTAGAACACGCAATGAGTACAAAAGCACAACCAGGCGACTGAGTCATCTTATCAATAGGCAAACGCCCATCAACCATATAAAATCAAAAATAGGCATTATGTTTTGAAAAAATTTATTTGTATTGATTATTTTTTTGGTGGACGTTCACCCACTTCCACTTGGTTTATCGGTTTTTCAACCAATGCGCTTACTAGGCCGATACTCACCGTCACCATTTACTTCCCAATCTTTGCAATTTCCACTTAAACAAAAGATTAGCATAGCTCAATTTCCCTTTCTACCCAGATAGTTTTAGTTAATCTCATTGCAATAAAAATATACTGGCCTGATAAGAAATTTTCCCGGTTAAACTTATGCTCACAAAATATTCTTATAAGCCCTCCTGTAGGAAATTTTCCAACGTCATGAGAAAATTTTGAACGATGTGGGAAGAAATTGGGCGTTGTTGCACCTAAATTAATCCATCAGCTGATTTCATCATTTGCAGCAGCTCCTTACCATATTATAATGAAAAGTGTTTGCTTTTATTTTAGCCTTGAATTATACTATATCATCTATCCAGACATCCTGTCGTGCACATTGTTTCCCGAAGAGAAAGAAGAAAGTAGGGGCAATTTCCTGGACCAAAGTATATTTTGACTGATGTTTCAACATCTTACTCGCTCCCATCATCAGATTGCCGCGGGTCTTGAATTAATCCGTACATGGAAGAGTAGGCACAGTACTCTGACGATGGAGGCGAGTGAGCTTTTGAAACGTCGGTCAAAATGTACTTTGGTTCATGAAAGTGACCATCTTCCTCTTCGGGAGATAATGCACACGATATAATCTATATTGTAGACTGTCTTGCTCATCTTCTTAAACATGATTCAGCTGTTTTGGTCATGAATTGAAGTTTCTATGCCTGCTAAAGTTGAATATTATTAAGCAACTTTTCTCTAAAAAAGCCAGACACAAAGCCACCTCGATTTATTTGTTTCGTTTACGGTTAAAAAACCAATTAAACCATCGTTACAGAGAAGCTAGGAGGTTCATAAACGGTTGAGGTTGGGAAATGGGTATGTGAAAGAAATACATAGGTAGGCCAACAGGTCATTAGGCAAGTATGTTTAAATGGCAGGATCGTCATGAGTCTTCTAGCTCGCACAACACCCCACGGCGCAAGATTTGACGGTTGACTGCGTAAGACCTTGAGATGTAACTAAGCAGACAACTGGTTGTGGCTATGAGTCAGCGTGTTCCCCATATGGAAAGGTTGGAGATTTTAAGCAGACGAATAATAAATAAGGACAAATACATTTCCAGGATAATAATCGGAATCATTAAATAGGTAGATCATTCAAGAGACGAATATCGCCCATTCAGAAGAGTCGATAGATGACCAAATGCCGTAAGGCTTAAATGCGACAACTACTGAAACATAGGGCACAAACCTACGGAAAATTACGAAAATGACAAAACTAAGCAAACTATCTGAGGATTTTAAAGTGCATAAGATTTGAATTAAGTCAAATATTACAGGGAATATTTGGCACATCATCAATTATAGGGAACAAGTGATTGATAGTATTTTCTGTCTTATAAATATGAGGGTTTTTATACTTCTATATTTGAAAACTATATTAATCCCATTTCTTATGTGCTTATGCTGATCTGGTCTGCCTATAGATAACGATTCAAATGACATAATATTTGCGAACGTTTAGGCAATTTTGACGTTTTAATAATAATAATAATCCAGGTTAAACACATAGCTCATTCTGATACACTCGTTTTCACAAGCTTTGACTTACTTTGAAAACATTTTTTGAGATTTTTTCAGTTAATGTTGGATGAGTAAGTATTTGGGAATAAATGTACTTTCGCTCAATAGAAAGAAAATATTTTAGGGTCACAGTTTGCGACCAACGTTCTAATGCATGCTATTAGTCTATCTGAACCTTTGCCCTGTTTATGGCTTTTGTAAATTTACATAAAACAGTGAGTTTTCTTCAAGCATATGAATTTGAGTCAGAGCCAGATATTTCGTCTTCCATAAATCTTGATAACGCATTTATGCGGTATGAACTTAACTCCATAGGCTTAAGCCATTTAACATTAATTCAACCGGTTTATGTTGTACGCAGACAAAAACAAGTAGGTGATAGTTTTTCTGGAAAGGCCTTTGGTATTTCGACACTGCTAGTGCCTGGGGGGTTAATCGCAAAATAAGATTTGAGCGGCTAACATTTTATTATTTAAAGTTTCATAATTGTTGGTTGTGTTGTTGATTTTCTTAACCAGGAGGTAAGCGGTCACATCTATTTACAAATCAAGAGTACCTATCCTATGAATGGGGTTCGATGCAGTCTTAGTGTTAGAAAATAGGCAAGAAAACTGTCAATTGTATGTCATATAGCATACGTGGCAAACAAGGACAGATAACATTCGGGCGATCAGTTTTACTAGCCAAGAAATTTGCGGACTTTAAGCATCAGTAAAAAGACAATTTTCTTGCGGTAAATATACTTCCATTT